TGTTTTAATAGAGTTATTTAGTTTCTTACTATTGAGGTGTTTGAGTTCCTTATATATTTTGAATATTAACCCCTTACCAGATGTATGGTTTAAACATATTTTCTCCCATTCTGTAGGTTGTCTCTCTATTCTATTGATTGTCTCCTTGGCTGTGCAGGAGCTTTTTAGTTTGGTATAATTTCAGTTATCTATTTTTGCTTTTGTTAATTGTGCCTTTGGGGTCATATCGAAAAAATTATTTCCCAGACCAGTGTTATAGCGCTTTCTTCCTATGTTTTCACGTAGTAGTTTTACAATTTCAGGTATTATATTTGTATTTACTTCATTTTGAGTTGATCTTTGTAAATAGTGTGAGATAAGCATCTTATTTCATTCTTTTGCATGTTGATGTCCAGTTTTCCTAGCACCATTTATTGATGAAAATATTCCTTCCACATTACGTGTTCTTGGCATCTTTGTCAAAAACCAATTGGCCATAAATGTGTGGATTTATTTCAGGGATCTCTATTTGTTCCATTGCTCTATGTGTTTATTTTTATGCCAGTACCATGCCATTTTGATTACTATAGTTTTGTAGATTTTGAAATCAGGTAGTGCAAAGTTTCTATCTTTGTTCTTTTTGCTCAAGATTACTTTGACTATTTGGGGTCGTTTGTGATTCCACAGGAATTTTGGAATTTTTTTTTATTTGTGTGAACAATGTTATTGGAATTTTGATAGGGATTATATTGAATCTGTAGATTGCTTTGGGTAATATGGACATTTTAACAATATTGATTCTTTCAATTCATGAACACAGGATAACTTTTCATTTATTTGTGTCTTCTTCAATTTCTTTTATGAATGTTTATAGTTTTCAGTATACAGATCTTTCACTTCTTTGTTTAAATTTATTTCTAAGTATTTTATATCTCCATCTATTGTAAATGGAATTGTTTTCTTGATTTCTTTTTTGGACAGCTTGTTATCCGTAAATAGAAACTCAACTGATTTTTTAATGTTGATTTTGTATCCTGCAAATTTACTGAATTCATTTATTATTTCTAACTATATTTTGGTGAAGTTTTCAAGGGTTTTTGTGTATATAATCATATCACCTGAAAATAGGGACAGTTTAACTTACTCCTTTTTGATTCAGATTCCTTTTATTTCTTTGCCTTGCCTAATTGCTCTGGCTAGGGTTTCTATTGAGAATGAGAATCCATGTTTTGTTCATGATTTTGGAGGAACAGCTTTCAACTTTTTGCATATGCAACTTTTTGCATATGCAGCTAACACAGCATATTAGCTGTGGAATTGTCATATATGGCCTTTATTATATTGAGATACATTCTTTCTATATGTACTTTTTGAGATATTTTTATCATTAATAGATGTTAAATTTTGTCAAATGCTTTTTCTACATCTATTGAGATGATCATATGATTTGCCTTTCGTTTCGTTAGTGTGGTATATCACAATTAATGATTTGAATATGTTTACTTTTGCATCCCGAGGATAAATATCACTTGACCATGGTGAATGAGCCTTTCAATGTGCTGTTGAATTCAGTTTGCTAGTATTTTGCTGAGGATTTTTGTATCTATGTTCATCAGGGATATTTTCTTTTCTTATAGTGGTCTTGTCTTGCTTTGATATCAGGGTAATGGTGGCCTCATAAAATTTATTTGAAAGTATTCCCTCCTCTTCAGTTTTTGAAAGAGTTTGAGAAGGATTGGTATTAGGTTTTTAAATGTTTGGTAAAATTCAGCAGTGAAGCCTTTAGGGCCAGCCTTCTTTTTTTTCTTTTCTTTTCTTTTTTTGATGGGAAACTATTACGATTTCAATCCTTTTACTCATTATTGGTCTGTTCAGATTTTCTATTTCTTCATTATTCAGTCTTGGTAGGTTGTATGTATCTAGGAATTTACTCATTTCTTCTAGGTCATCCAATTTGTTGATGTATTCATTTGTTCATTCTAGTCTCTTAAGACCCTTTACATTTCTGTACTATCGGTTGTATGTGTTCCGATATTTTGCCCATTTTTAATGTGTTATTTTCTTATCGAGTTTTGAGAGTTCTTTATATATTCCAGATAGAAGTTCTTTTAAGATATGTGATTCATAAATATTTTCTCCCGCATTTTCAAAAAGCAGACACTCTTAAGTGAAGTTCAGTTTATTTACTTGTTCTTTCATTTATTGTATTTTTGGTTTTGTATCTAAGAAATCATTGCCTAACTAAAGATCACAATCCTTTTTTTCTGTTTTTTAAAAGAAATTTTATAGTTCCTGGTTTTGCATTTCTCTCTGTGATCCATTTTGAGTAATTTTTTAAATATAAGATGTGAGGTATGGATAAATTTTGTTTTTATCTTTTTGCATATGGATATCTGGTCATTCAAGCACTAGTTTTTAGAAAAGCTATCTTTTTTTGTCACCAAATTGCCTTTTTACCTTTGTCAGAAACTAATCCATCATATATGTGTAGGACTATTTTTGTATCCTTTTTTTTAAAAAAGTAAAAATAAAAATAAAATTACACTAGGAATACACAAGGAATTACATGAAGAATATGAGTATTTTATTGTAAAAATTATAAAAATATAGAAGTATATAACGATTAGAGTAAATGCTTTTATAGGCCTTACTGCGCCGAACATCAGTCTAAATGCTTTAAATAGATTAACATATTTGCTCTACAACAATTCATGAGATAGGTAATGTTATTTTTTCCATTTTACAGATGGGAACACTGAGGGCACAAAGAGGTCATGTAACTTGCATGTGGTCATGTAGCTAGTAATTGTTGAGCTGTGTTCTTAATCACTTTATTATTTTCCTTCACCTCTACCCTAATCCAATGCCTTGTCTCAAATATGACAACTGTTCTTTATTTCATTTGCAACTTTATCTACCTATATAAAACACATGCAAAAGATATTTCATTTGTATTCATGTCTATTCTTTATTCAATACCACTCTCTAGATTACTGTAGTTTTATAGTAAGACTGTAAATGAAGTGTGTGAGTCCTACAACTTTGAAGAGAATATGTATTCTGATGTTTAGGTGTAGAGTTTTTTTTTCTAAATGTCACTTAGTATAATTTAGTTGGTAGGGCTGTTCTGTTGTTCTGTAATCCTTGATAAGAGTTTGTCTGTTTTTCCTATCAAGTGCTGAGGCAGTGTATTGAAGTTTCCAAGTATATTTATGGATTTTTTTATTTCTCATTTTAGTTTTATAAGATTTTCTTTCATGTATTTTGAAACCCTGTTGTTAGGCGTACACATATTTATATTTATTTTGTTTTGCATAGTTGACCCCTTCATAATTAATGTCCCCCTTTATCCTTTTGCTAAAATTTACTTAGTCTGCTATTAATAAGCTTTCTTATGGTGGGTTTGTGTAGTATCTCTTTTGCCAGGTTTGCACCAACCTAATATATCATTTTATTTATTTCTTTTTATTTATGCCTATATATTTTATTTTATTTTATTTATGCCTATATATTTAAAATGAGTTTCTTGTACACAGCATACAGTTTGGTCTTGATTTTTTTGATCCAATCTGCTCTTTAAGTTTTAATTAGCAGTTTATAAGGTTTACATTTAATGTAATTATATGATTAGAATAAAAACCACCACATTGTTAGCTGTTTTATTTTTTAAATCTATTATTTTGATTTTGCTCCTTTGCAATCCATTCTTGAATATTTCATTTTAGCTCCATTATTGAATTATTATTGATTTTTCTGTTAAAGAATTATTTTTGTCATTGCCCTAGGTTACATAATATGTGTCTTTAATCAGTCTATATTTAAATAATATTAGACTACCAGACATGTAGTATAAGGATTTAACAACAGTATTTCCCAATTTCTTCCTTCCATCATTTGTGCTGTTGTTGTCATACATTTTATTTTTACACATGCTAGAAAACAATGCATTTTTAACTTTTAAAAATTTTGATATTTTTGCCTTATTTACCTTTTAAAACAATTTAAAATAAGGAAATCCATTTTATATTATTTTCATTTATTCTATTTCTTAAACGCTTTATTACTTTGTGTATATGTCATACCTTACCAAGGTTTTAAAAATAAATGTTAATATTTTTAACTATTTGCATTTACAACACACCAGTCTTTGACTTCTGTTGGCTCTGTTAAAAATTTGTCACCTTTAGATAGCTGGAAATGTGTTTTATTTTTATAATTCTTTGTGCTCACTTGGAATTTCAGGACCATGGGACTGAGTATATTATAAGAGGTCCTTTGTCCTAATCTTCAAAGTCTGACAAGTTTACTGATCTTAAGCTGTTTCTAGAAGTTCTCTTTCTGAAGTTGAAGTGTAAGCCTGTTTGGTCTATATTTCTCTTTTATCTCTCTTTTACTCTTTTACTTCTCATGTGGTGTTTGGAGCATTTGGACCATGCTGTCCTGCTTTTTAATGCTTTCTTATTAATAACCCTGTACATATATGAAAATAGTTATTGAGTGTCTTCTTACCATCTCCTTTACATATTACCATCTCCTCTACACATTAAAAAGTAGGAGGGATGTCCCAGCTCCCTTGCCACATTGTGAAAATGCAGACTATATAGAGTGCTAAACTTAAACCCTCTCCCTGAAGTCATATGGTTTGTTTTATTCCAGATATGTACCTTTAGGCAAGCTCTGGGATTCTGAAATTGGGTGGGTTTCCTTCAAAAACAACATTCATCTGAAGACCTAATTTATTTCGTAGCCTTCTCAATGCAGTAGCCCTAGGTATGTTACTTGTATAGCAATAAGGCAGAAGGAAAAGAGCAAGCTAGAAAACCTAGAATTTTCTGAGCAAACTATATTCAATTGTGATTAAAAAAAAGTACTGTTGACAGCTGGGACTGGTCCTATAATAGAACTTATAATAAGCACTTGTCAGTTACGTGGGTTATTGCAAGAGACACTTACTTTCAAGCTTTCCCCTTTAATTCATGTCCAAAGCATAACATTTTCTTTTTGTCTTTTTCCCCCTCAAGGGGTGCTACATCCATTGTGTACAGATGCAAACAGAAGGGGACCCAGAAGCCTTATGCTCTCAAAGTGTTAAAGAAAACAGTAAGTTTGTTTCATTATATAATGGCATCTCTAAGGGGCCTGTGACCTGGAGAAGGCAAGAACCTGATTTGAAGAACAAAGGGGCCAGAGAGCTGCGGTGTGCAAATGACTCGTTTGACTCTTGATTATGGGAGTGCAACCCAAATATGTTGTTGTCTGGTGGAAATTGCATGAGTCTTTGAAAGCAACTGGATCTCACTTTGGATGTGGTTGTGGGGAGAAGTCTGGCAAGGAAAAACATTTAGAATTGGCAGGTAGAGCTTATTTTGTATATCAGGTATGTTCTTGTATATATATATACACACACACAAACAGACATATATACACACTGTATAATAATTTCAATATTTAAATATTAAAACCACTTTTTAATATTAGAAAAGCTTGCTATTGAAAATAATTTGAAATAAAGCACAAATGTATTTGTTAAAGGAGTCAGCAGATTCGAATTTGCCTTGATTTTCAAATGTTGCGCTTGTTTCAGTAGAGTATAATTGAACAAATGTTAATTTTTTTGGGACTGAACCTGCTCATCTGGAAGTTTGTACTTGGAAAAGGAAGGTTTTTATTTGGGGATTGCTTCTTTTGCCCTACATTCATAGGTAAGTTGAGAAGCAAAAGTGACTTAGGCTTATCTCCAATGAGTAAGAAACACAGTAGATAGGAGTTCAAAATATAAATGCCAACACCTATGTAATACTGTCTTTACCCTCAGAGAATATTTTGCCATTTTAATGCCCTGCTTGGATTTTGTGTTCTTATGCAGTTTCTACTCATAAAACCACAAAAAGACAAGATATTCTTTTATAGTACATTCCTTTTCAAATTTCATGTGAACAAATATGTGAAATGTATATATATGAAAACCTATATATATATATATATATATATATATATATGAAAACCCAGTTGTAAAGTATGCTGAGATGTATCATAAATTTTTAAGTCAAATACATTTTTAGGCCAAGGAATTTTTATTCCTCAAGGCAGCATAAAATTACCAGCTGTTTATGTATTGTCTGGCACAGGGAAATTGTGCAGAATCTTGTATAATGAAGAGCACAATAGTACAAGGTTTTCAGCTAAATAGAAATAGAATGACATTTTAAACAATCTGTTAGAATTTAAAGCCATAGCAAAATAACAAAAGCAGTTTAATGAAAGTCGGTAATAATTTGAATGGCAGTTGCTACTAATGAATTCTATATTCTGAATTTTCTGTGTGTTGTAGACAATGATTTAAGTTATTCCAGAATGTAGAGGAATCTTTTGATGGATAAGATTTGGAATTTTCCCTTAATTTAGTTTCTTACAGTCATAAAATCTATCTGAACTAAGGATTATTAAAACTTTTATGAAATAGAATTTCCTGTTAAATATCTACTTTCTTATGAAAGTAAAATGGCATGTTTTAGCAGTGGTCATACACAGGATGTTTTAGGACTTGTTTGTACCATTTCTTGTTGGTTAAAAATTGTCAGTAAAATGTGTGAAGGGCTACTTGTTTTTCATAGTTGAAGAAACTTTGAGAGGGAAGAGATACATGAAAGTCTAGGAAATCAGCACTTAGAAATTACATGTGAATGCTCAACAATCCCCAAGGACAACAGGCTGGTTTAAAGATCATTGGCTTATGTCAAAAGTCTTTGGATAAATTGGAGTAAGAGGTCAGTGAAGCCATTTGGTGGGTTCATGATGTACATTAACATTGGGCAAGTGCAGCTCTGGTTCGTCCTTACTGTCTTCTCGCTGTTGTGAAAACATCTCCCTCAGAAGATAGGCAGGAAGAGCATGTGAATGAGAATGAAGTGTCAGATGGGGCTGCAGAGTGGTGCTGTAAGGCAGATGTTGTCAAACAGTTACTGCTGTACCAAATGGAATGAGAGAAAATGCCCTGGAGAAACCTCAGCTTTGAATGTGAATTAGATAGAATCCTCAGTATTGTCTCCTAGGATAAATCATGCACAGAGATGTGTAAACGAGAGAAATAGCAGACAAAACCTCAAAGAACAGTTGCCTCTAGCATTTCATTCCATATAGGTCATGGAGACTGAAACTTCCTTGTCTGAAGGAAATGAATGAAGCCTAAGAATCTATTTATAGAGGAAAAGTGATGTAGAGAAAATGTTTTCTTAGATAATTCAGCCAAGGGATCTGCTCCTGAGGAAAAAAAGGGGGGGGGGGTTCAGAAACCTTGAATTATTTATGTAATCTATTAGGCTCATAAAATTGCTTTTATTAATGCAATTTTTTACTTATTTTTTGGCCTTCAAAAATGGCAATTTTATGTGATCCAACTAACAACTTTGGGACTACTGTATTACTTCAGTGGATGGTATGGATGGTTCCTTCAGTCTTCATTTTATGACTAGACCTAAGCCTTGAAACTTTGTCTGTCTGTCTGTCTGTCTATGTATCTATCTATGTATCTGTCTATGTATGTATGTATGTATGTATGTATGTATGTATCTATCTATCTATCTATCTATCTATCTATCTATCTATCTATCTATC